CAATGGACTGGTGAAGTTTTTACATGCAGCTCGGCCGGAAAAAAGTTTTATCACCGGATATTTCAACCAAAGTTAAAGTCGATAACTGAACTCTCAACTGGCCAAGTACAAAGTAATAAGTCCAGTTAAATTTTGAGCAACTCTAGGTGCGTTTCTTTCTAATGATAGACGCGATTAGATTAGTCATGAAACACCGTAAAGAATATTCATAACCGACTCACGTGTTCAAAGGACGACAATCGCAACAGGGATTCCTTGGAGGAAAGGAAAGTCAAACCGACCTCAATTCTACTAAACGCACTTTCTTTTCCTGCGGTATTGCCGGCTCAATTAAAGGCTACTTCACCAAAGTAAAAATTTAAGTTCATTCCGCACTATACTTTAACTTTTGTATGTCGGCACTAAGATTTATTTCGATATTCAAATACTGACAATAATAGGATATAGCATACCTTATATACCGGCCGAGCTTTCACAATTCCTTATTACAAATATCAACTCATATAGGTAAGGCTCTGTTACTTAGAAACCATAGTATGAAATACACGATGGTGTGCAAAGCACCAAGTTGTGATTTTTCACAAAACGTGCCAGCACTGAGTTAAATAAGACTCGAAATTCGAAAAACTGTGAAAAAATACTTATTCGACTTAGTGGTGGTGAGTAGATTTATAAACAACGGCAAAGATTTCACTGGATTAGTTTTACTTAATGTGGAGAAAAAACTGCTCCAGGGCGAAGGAATGGTTCTAGAAAGTTTCCAGGCGTGAAGAAAACCTCATTTGAAGCAATAACAGAAAAATTGAATGTTGTGGGCGAGGGAAATCTTTTTCATGATGCACAAATACTAGCATACTAGCTGTGAAAGTGCGCGTGGAGGAAGCCTCGCTGTGGTTGAATTGATCAATCAACCAGGAATGTAAATATTTCATAAACCACTATTACTTTTGTCAAAGCAAAGTTTATGTTTTTGGAAGTGTGAAATCACCTGAATTCTTTTTCAAAATTTTGAATTCATATTTTACGTGCATGGGTTTCCGCTTTTATGCGATTCTTAAGATTTTTCTGCGGTTATACAAGACTTTAGTTTAATCAGTGATTTGCCCCTCGTGCATTTATACGGATTATAGTTAATCCATAATTGCAATGTTATAATGATCTCAATAAACGGTCCAATGTATTAACGAAATATTGAACATATAAGACTAATAAACATGCACGAGATCTGTTATTTGGAGCTGGTTTGGAATTTTGTTTTTTGCTCTTCTTATCCCGTAGCAGTTTTCCAATTTACAACGTTATGACAAGAAACGACAATCGCGTGAAGAAGAGCATGGGGATCAGGCACGGATGCGGGAGTTTTCGCTGGACAGGATGAGGATTAATGTTTAAGTTCAATCAAAATTACTTCGTGATCGCATAATATGGCCTTTATAAGCTCCACTGTATGTCGCGCATACCAAACGACGCATTTAGTTATTGTATTTTGCCATATAAGCTCTTTAGGAATTCATAAATCTATAATCCTATGTTAGGTATAATCGCACTAGAAGCAACAACGTAAACAAACATAAAGCAGTTTTTTAAGCCTGCACCTTCTGTTTCCATGCATGACCATTATTAACGCCTGGATTAAGAGCTTGATCCATGAGATGATGGTTGATGAAAATAACGCCTGAATCATATTGGGTAATCTAATTGTTTCGGTGGAAACTATAGTAGTATAAAAATACGTAAGAAATCTTTTACGTAAGAAATACGTAAGAAATCTTTTACGTAAGAAATACGTAAGAACGATCTTCTGTAACTCTCTGCAGAATTAATCGGAACATTTTTTCTCACACGTTTTTTTCTCACTAAATCACGTTTTCAATAACTATAAATAGAACTTTGATCAGTGTCCACGGTAGCTACGTGACAGCTAGCTACATTTTATTATATTTTTGGACAAACTAGCACATGTCTGGATATTAACAATCTGACAGGTAAATCAGTAAAATCACCAATACAAAATTTTTATGTAGCTCCATTTAAAGAAAGAAACCTAGTGTTAATTATACGAAGGCACACAAAAAAGCTGCGATATCCTTTTGATATATGTGAACGAGTAAATTAGTTACGGATGTTGAAATCATAGGTTTTATATATCAGAGCATTCGTAACTAGTTACTCGTCCACATCTATCAAAGGAGAAAATCACATATAAAATTGCACTTAAAATTGCAAGGCCTTAACGTGGCGATTGTGAAAGTTATGCATTCGGCTACCACCATAATGCATCACGATTTAATTCGGCGCAGCTATTGATGAAACAGTTGATTAAATAGCCTATATTGGTATATTGATCAAAATCAACTCTTAATAAGGTAAATGATTAAATAACGTCGACCATTTCTCAAAGAGTTGAAACATATGTTAGACATATTGTAACATTTGGTCTTGATTATTCTTAATCGCGGAGTCGAGACCACTGGTCCAGACTTACTGGAAATCTACTTAGGAGATCAAACGCTGATATGGCATGATGCACGCGTGACTGTGCTGCGCAAGTGATACATACACAGTCAGGTCGCCATTATAACCGAACGTTTTAATTACACAACTTTTCATAATTTAAATATAAAAATGCAATGCATGATGATTGTGAATCATTTATATTTAAAGAAGCCTTGGTTTTGGCTGAGGTTCAAATATGTTCTCAAAAAAAAGGCTAAATTCCAACATCAAATCATCACTGTATTGGCGGACAAATCAAAACCATTTTTTTCATGGCATAATTTTATAGATACGTATGATATAAGAAAGTGTTCGAGTATTCATCGCTGAGTGAAAAACTGTTAATCGAAAATACCAAAGAGGAAGCGAAAAAAAGAAAACGAAGTTTATCTTTAACTGATATCCAAAAGCCATAGGGTATAACTAAGTATGCCTTTCGGTGTTATTTTTTTCGAGTCCTTCTACTAGAATTACGAAAATCTTCGATGTTCTAACCAGTTTAGTGACTCTTTATCGCAGCAGTCACATGCGATTTAATAATAGCTTAAACAGTATACGTGCAATGCGTCATGTTTTCTCAACCATACTAGTTTTATTTGGCAAGAATTATACTAATCTTTTGTGAGCACATCTCACAACATGACACTAATTTGATTTGCTCATCTTCCTAGTGACGACAGACAGAGCTGTTTGTAGTTTGGGCTAAATACTTTTCTATTACGTTATATTTTCGTTCACAAGATGTTTCACTATAATCGAAAGGCATGCCATCATCATCATCGCTAAAACATTAAGCGCGACCGTTCAGCGAGCAGAATAGCATCATTCGAACTTCCCGAGAGTCGCCCGTTAGAAAGTAACATCACTAACATGGGGCGCGGATTAACGGAACAAAGCAATTCCGAATATAGGAATAGGATTAAAGAATATTAACTAAATTGCGGGGTACATTAGATGGTATAAATACTTCCATAAGTTATATTTGCGCTCATGCAAGCTGTTTCGCAAGGAGATCTCGTTTTTCTTGGTATAGTGTACATAGAAACAAGAGACAAATTATTTCGCTCTGAGTAAAAGCTCTAATCAAAGTTACAGAATTTAAGATGTATTTCGTCTCCTCGTCAAGTTGACAACAAGAGACAAATACCACTTTGGGATTTTTTACATCTTAATCCCCAGTTCCTGAGAGATTGCTTTAATTCGAAAGCAGACGGAGCCGAATGATATTTGATTTCACAAAAACTTTAACTAAATTCAGTTCTCGTTGACAGGTTTCGCGAGACGCAAGAAGTCAGACAAAATCGAGCGAACAAACCCTAGGAATTCCACAACGAACAGGTGAACCGTGAACGCAAGTAACCGATAAGCGTTCGTTGGGTTCTGATTTTTAATCTTCTGTAAACGTTGTGTTACAACGATGCTGACCAGAGCCAGAATTAACTCACTTATTTACTAATGCAGCTATCGTATTCCTCGGAAAAAAATTACTACTCTTTAAGTACCTTTCAGCTTGTCAGTCGTTATGTCAAATATTTGCTCAATTTCCTAAAACGCAACATTACAGCCGGATTCACACGGGGATTTACTAACCTATACGATATAGTTAACGGTACAAAATTTCGGCATTGCGTGACTGTGTAGCCACTCCAGTTTTAACATGAAGCAATGTCTGGAGAAACTCTAGAATGAACTCAGTGGGGAGCCCTAATTGTGAGATCATATGTACAACATACACGTGGTCAGATTTCATACCACAAGATACCGACTTTAAACATCGAAGGCATAAATACTGAAACCGTTAAAAATTTGCTATGGTTTAGGTCGCTCCGTCGCTGGACCATACACGCTTTAAGGCAATTGAAAGTTTAGCAACTGAACGTTTAGCACTGCTGCGTACTTCCTTGACCCAAAGCTAAGCTTGTTAATTAAAATTCAACTTGATAGAAGCAAATTTCAAAGGTCGTTTACCGATAAACCAAAACGGTGGCCTAATAACATGGCATGATCAAATAAAGCAAGCAGATCTGTCAATGATAGAGTACTTCAGACACACAATAGGGTTGATTTTTTGCGCTTTCTTTGAAAGAAAGCTCGGTAATTGTAATGCGTGTGGTTCTGTTACCAAGTAACTATCGAAGATCCACCGCACCGAATGTCACAATCGCGCAAGGAGCACGCTTGCTTGAAATGCGATCGAATTTCTGAATAAATTGCGGCAGCTCGAAGTTACCAGGTGAGTGAACACAATCAGAGAGAACAGTTTTTACCACTGCGCTAAGCGAGTTTGATCCGCGTGGCGCTCGGTCGGGGTTTATTTGAATAACAACAATTGTTTTCTTTGCGCTGTCAAACAGGGTTCAATCACGACCGTGGCGCAACCAATGGCTTTGCCTGATGTCAGAAGATTGCGCTTGGCGCCACAGTAAATACCCCAACTATTACAAGCTTAATGAAATTGACCTCATTGCCGAGCTACTGATCTACAGTTACAATTATGCACTTACCAGTATGACGATAAAGTCTTCGAATTTGGAACGATCGATGCGAATAACGTTAGGGTCACTCGGGTAACGGCTAGATTACCGAAGCTTGAGTTCAGCTAATACTCGACAAGACCCGATGACGTGACTGCCAAGTCCTGAGATAAAATATTTAAAAAAGATACATGCCATTAGATTCCGCGCAAGACGACTTAATTAAGAAATTCTTCTGGTGTCGACGGTTGTATGTGAGTAGCGCATGTAGCCTGGTGCGCAGACCTTAGCCAGCAAGGGTGAAGAAGTAAAAAGAATCCAGTTGTCGTCGATGCAAACGATTGACACTCCTGTTTCCGTTCGAGGAGGAACAACAAACCAAAATCCGGGGTCAGGCCGATCGCTTCACGCTGAGTTGAAGTATGACAAAACATGCAGCATTTAACGCAACCACAAGGCTAGCCTTAACATTGTACTGCCCTCGTTTTGTGTACAAATGTTGAAGGTGGTCTTATCAGTCGTACGCAGCCAAATAAGCTCATCAATATTATTGAGTAATAAAACGCGGTTCCAAAGGTAACAAATTAATCGTCAATCGTTCACATGTCAGCGCAGGAAGGTGTAAATGCTGCTAAGCGTTAAAAGCATTGTCGTAATATTTAAACGGCTAGACATTTATGGAAACGAGGCTTGTAAGAATACGATGAGAAATTCCTATCATCTAAAGCTATTTTGCCTTCCAGGAGCATCCGAGTCGCATTTGGTTTAAGAAACGCACCTGGCGGCTGGCGTTATCTAGAAATATGTTGCAGTGCACCTGAGAAATCAGAATATGTCTTATCATGGTCCCCTCGTTTTAGGCAAATATTTGAATAAAGTCATCAAAACAATAGGGGAGAATACTACGGGAAGGAACTGACACAGCAGCAGGCGATGTATCGTCTAACCTTTATATGCTAAATCTCTAAAACACATCATAAATACATAACGGACCGCCGTACAATGCGTCGAAGCTGTTTATGAAATATATTTAAACGAAGGTATTTTCGACTGAAATGTCGAAAGATTTTTATGTAGTTAGAATTTAGCGATACGGTCACAAATTGCAGCCGTGTTCTAGAATACCCTATATATTGGACCCCTATGTTTCAGACATGATTTATGTATTTATACCAAATCATAAAACCATGGGGGAATGTAGTAACCTGACCTATTTTCACAGGACTACCAAGAGTAATCAACATACATGATATTCGTATAGGCTAATACAATTGGTATAAGTGCAACTACACGCGCATGATCTATAATTATGTTGAGGGGTGCGCGTGAATGGGACGAAGATCAATCAATTTGTGAAATGAGAAGATATCAACTAATAAATTTTGGTGTATATATACCTCAAATAGCTAAATAAATAGGGGCACATAACATGGTCCAAAGATAAACGAAAGAAAAAAGTATATTGTTTTTACCATGAACTGCACGATAACGATTAGAAAATAACCCTTATATGCTAATACCTCAGTCTAAAGGACGAGATAGTGCAATTCAGCTGATCAACTAAGATAAGATACATCGGGTTTGGCATTCAGAGTTAACATCTTAGTATTCCCAAACCGAGGAAACTGAATTTCGAAAACGTGTATGGATTCTAAGAGCAAAAAAGGCAAGATGGCATAGCTTATCAAAAACAATGTCAATGTAAGATCGTCATTACGCTATATCCTCTCAAGCAACGATCTTTCCTACGCGTAAATTGCTTGCGTGCGCATACGAAAAAGTGCATTCCTAGTTGTGTATTTAAAAAAACACACAGAAATTTTGAGGTAGAACTTAGTTTGAGCTCGATTTCCGGAGGATTGTGTCTATGCCTGCTAATATAGAAATATAACGGTGTTACGTGCGCTAATTTGACACCGCAAAATATGCAGATTAGCTTCTCACGTCGTATTAATGACACGCGCGTTCTATAAGCAGAGCTAACGGAAATTGCATGAACCCGCGCGTTGAGCTGTTTTCCTATAGAAATAGGCCCTAATCATCACCTTGGGCAATATAAAACATCCCTTGTCTAGGCAACGTGTTCCTTTTGAGCGAAATAAATATGTACAAACAATTTAGAGAAGGATCATTGCATAATCGTATAGTGCGGTATAGTCTTAGACCTCTAAAGAAACGCGTTATAGAAACGAAGTAACGATAAAGCAACAACTTACACAGTTTTCTATTGTTTCAAACTTGCTACTCCGTGCAGTAATGCAACTCTTTTACTTGCTTCAATTCTGCTCAGCTTTAATCCTTAGTCTGCTTCGAAATGAAGCCGATGAGCATTTCACTTGCTTTTATCGCAACTACCTTGTCTCAGGCAGCTCAATTAATGCCAAAAGCAGATGATAACGATACAAATATCTTTGAAAAAGATAAGCCTTGAAAATAGCTTTTCCATCGTGGCCTTTGTACCGAGGAAACACCTCGACAAACTACAGTCGCCTAGTGTGTCTTTTTATGTGCGTATTGCCGGAAGATGCACGGGTTAATATAATTTGCATGATATAGTCCAGAGCTTCTCAAAGCAATTTTGAACGTTTCTACGGAAATATTCTAAACCTGGCAAAAAATCCCTCTGTAAGCCTATCTGACGTACAGAGATAAGCCCATTACGTCTAACTCAAATCTCAGTTCAACTTGATCGAGCTATTTGTAAACAAAGCCACTGAAATGATCGTGAAACGAAAATTCCTGAACCATTTCACGCTTTTTTAGCAAACAATGGACAAACAAAAGGCACATGGAATTTTTCCACACCATAAAAAACGGAATACGAGCAGTGACAGCGAACTTATCCTCAATATCGGTGTGTAGAGATGGGTGGTCAAGTCCAGGATATACAATTACCTTAAGGTTGATAATACTACAGATATGCAAATAAATATTTGAGCTGCAGATTAATTAAACTAGGTCAGTTATCATGAAAAGCACGCAGAAAATCGCTTGATGAGACCGAAAGATCACCACCCTATAAATGAGTGACTAGACCGACATTATGCATGGAAGGATACCGCTCTAATGTTTTAAACAAATAAAAAGTGTGAACAGCATAAATATTTAAAGACCATTATTCATAACAGTTTTTTTTTACATCAATGCAAGTGCTAGCTATCCATCACGGCAAAGGAGCTGAGCCAGAGGTGGACTTCATTTCAAGTGCACCTAATGGTTATTCACAAGGCATGTTTTTAAGTACGAGAACAGGGAAGACAATACTGTAATATCCAAACATAAAACCATGGAAAATATAAAGCATGATAAACCATACTGTGAAAAGAAGTGTAGAGTGTTGTTTTGCAAAAAGGGCCTACAGTGTATCAAAGAATCGAGTACCAAATATTTCACCCATAATCCAGATCAAATATATACAGTACTTAAAGATGGTGTCATCATGTAACACCATGTTCGAAGATCGGCATGTAGCTTACGTATAAATCATAATTCTGACCACCAATACCATTTTTGTACATGAAATTTAAGAACTTGGCCTTCAGGAATTCCAAGAAGCCATGTTACTTCCTATTATGAATAATACGTTTATTGGTATTACGCGCATGCGAGTTTCAGATTACTTGATTATGTGTAATCCGACATGGTGCAAAATTTTAAGTCTAGACGTAAAATTATTTATGTCACTACCACAAGTTACTTCTTTATTGTAAACGATCGTAGCAAAATCGTATCTACTGTAGAAACATTTTGGGTCTGCATGTGGGAGAATCGCTGTTATAAACAACTTAGTGGCCCGGCCGATCGGGATTTAACAAATTTGGATTTATTCCTCAGGGTTGAAAATAGCAACTGTTCCCAAAACACGTAAAATGGCAGAGTTCCATAAACAATTGAAGTAGATATGATGTCTGTGAAAACACTCTTAAGTAAAGATGAACCGTGCTGATTAAACTTGCACTAATATAGAGTTGTACACTTGATAACATTGTCGCAGTCGGTAATTTTATGCATGGATTATTTAAAAACTGCATATATGGCCGGAAGAACCAGTCTATAGAACCTCTTGAAGTAGCGATTAGTTAAATAAAGTTCCTCGAGGTAGAGATTAGTTAAAGTTTCAAACGGGGTAAACATCCTTTTTAAAGCTTATTTTTAAACCACCACTGGTAAGCTTATTACCACAAATCAAGATCTTCCAACTCCGTATCGACTTCGAATTGGGCCAAACTATATACGAGAAGGTTGAAAGTACACTTGCTTCGAGCAAACATTTGTTCGTGCCTGGATGCATTCATGATCTTCTTTCATTGTTCGATCCTTTTTAAAATCGTAAGCAACTACGTACGGCACTTTGAGAGGTAAAAAAATCCTAAGTCATGGCATTGAATGATTAGGCTCTGAGAGATACCGTGGAATCCGGAATCGGTTGTTGTTTGGGAAAGGGTAAAATGAAAAATAACATTTTCTAAAGGTGGGCGTAATGGACCATGTATAATGCTTTCCGTCAATTGCGCAAAACCTTAGAGTTTTTTTCTTCAGTATATGGCTGTTTCCTAGAACATGCTTTAATCTTTAATAAGGCATTTATATATAAGAACTAAACAGGCAGAACCTACTATACACACCCGTCCCAAAAAATCTTCGATCACCAAAAATAGCCGAAAATACGAGAAAATCGAATAAATAAAACTCTTATAAAGTCTAAATAAATTATTGTCAAAAAAATTATCCGGAGATTTTTAATACCATAAAAGTTAAGTCCTTATTCGCTTTTCTAGAGTGACTGATGCACGCTTTGCAAATAATCTTGCTTATTTCACGAATGAATAATGTTTACTAATCTTCAGTCATATCATAACATATGCTGTTCTCATGACGCGGCACAAAAATGTTCGGCGATTTTTGCTCATCATGATGTAAATATGCTAAAACAGCTCAGTTGATTATCCTCGAGTGCAGACAAATGTCGCAATCCAGTGCACTATTTGTGTGGCGCGGCCCGCGAAGAGATAGCATGCAAGGTGTGGACAAAATTGATATTCTGCAACAGCATGCAGGACAACCAATATCACTAAGGCTTTATGAAGGGAAAAATTTTGCTGACAGGTCAATTAATCATCCACAACGTCAGTTTACGAGTGATCATATCATTGAATGAAGAGCTGGAGAAAATGGACAACTATGATACGAGAATCAGCTTTGCAAACTGAAGAGCAATCAGGTTATATGCATTATCATAAAACAGCTAAGACGAGCAGTTATACACGTGAAATTCTATAATCAAAGCTGCGTGCAAATTGCAGGCGGAATGCAAGTTACAGGTGCAATTCAAACGTACGAGTTTCTAAAGAGGAAAACCCGAATACGTTATAGTTGGTGCAAGATTGTTTTGTAATTGACAACTTCATGGTCAATTTATTTGGCAGAATTAGATACTTTTATGACTTTGTCTAGACAAAACAACTCAAAAGAGATGGTATAGATAGACACTTCTGCCTGTACTGACAACCGAAAATTAGGCAATAGACGTATTACACGACTACCATGGAGTAATGGGAACACAGCGTCATTAAGACTTGTATAGAAATGCAACCTTCTACTCTATACA